AAGAATGTAAAGAGTTTTCGATCCTCCCTCTCGTTTTTTTTTCCCTCCTTTTCTTTTATTTTTATTATCTTTTTTTGTTTTTCTTTTCTTTTTTTTTAATCGATATACATAATATGTATCTACTCGATTCGATCGGATAAGTATACTTAGAAGAAGCAGCCAAAACGACCAAGTCATTTAATCGATCGAGTATACATAGTCACGTTTGGCTTGTAAAGCTTTTATTTCTCTTGAAACATTTAAAAAGGCCTTTTCGAATATTTATCTTTAAGATATTTCATCGGAATATTTTAATAAGGTCGATGCCATTTCAGCGAATAATTTCGCCTTTTCTCGTCGACTCACGGATATTCTGAGCTTGCGTTACCTTGCGCCTTGGCGGTAGTTTGTGAGGTCACCGGTGTTCTCGTGAAATTACCGAATTGATTTTTGGTAGGAGAAACTGATGTTTGCGAGGGACCTGTACCGGTAGCTAATGATTTGTCTCTTGGTGGAGGTGCCGAGCTAATGCTAGACGAACTTACGCCAGAATCGCTTGATTTCTCGCTTAAACAACCGCGCTGACTCAAAGCCGTGGTAACGTCACGAGCGGCTTCGAGTCCAAGATCTGTGTTACCACCGACAACGTATTTGACCATACCAAGCTTTTGATTACCTTCGCAGGCTTCCTCGATCACTACAGTTTCTCCAAAATTACTTCTCTTTCCGATTGCCCTAGCGCTACCGCCGCGTAACAAAGGTGATTTATCGAATTGTCCTTCCTTTTGCGTTAAAAGTGATCCGCCAATAGGTATATTAGGATGAAAGTCATCCTTAACGTCTGTTAATGTATTACCACCCTCGCCGGTAACATTGCCAGCTGCTATCTTACTCTGAGCACTACTGTCGAGATTATTCTCTCTGGATATCTTCGTCGTCATCGATGATTCAGGACTGACGTTTCGGCGACTTGTTGGATTTTTATGGGCATCGTAGCAACCAGAATCCCTTGGAAATTGACGGCGATTGAAGGGAGAACAATGACCGGACGTTTGTCCCGAATGAAGAACTAATCTGCTAACCTCGTCTCCTTCTGAACTCGAAGCCAAATCTCCTTCGCTACCAGCTGTTAAAGAAAGGAAGTATACCAAAGGATTATTGTGGGATAGCTTTAATATTGGACTTATATATTTTCAGAAATTCGGCGGAGATATCACGGGGATATCTGGCAACGTTTACGAGATTACAGAAGAAGGAAGGAGGAGAAGAGGAAGGTGCTCGTTGATCGTTTTACTTACACTGAAGGTCGTGCAGTAGTTGTACGGCCGTAAGTATCTTGGCACGGTGCTCCGGTTGATGTATACTCAAATAATCGAGATCCGCTGGCTCTATTTCCCTGAACAGCTCCAAATCCTCGTAACCGTTCAGCACGAAAACGGAAATGTGTTCCTGCACGAACGTAAGGTAGTTTACCACGTTAGTTGCCTTTTCACCGTTATCCCTGGCTTATTGGATCGCTTTTCGTGGCTTTAGTATTTGGAATTCAACTCTTATATAGGTAGATAGAGATAAAGAGGGAGAGAGAGAGAGAGAGAGAATGTAAAAGACGCGGACAAAAAAGAATACAAGGAAAACGTGAAACGATAACACTCGCTTGTTAGAGAAAAATACAATCGGGGCCAATACGAAGGATAACGAAAGAAAGAATGAAAAAGGAACACGCTAAGCTTACTATATCAGAGCCGAATTTCTTTTTATCGCATTCAAAATGATACACAAATAAGGAATATTGTTTGTCATCGTTGGAATGGATGTCGAAAAAGACATCGCATTTTACCTGAAGATTCATTCTTTGTAAAAGCTCTTGAACCGATCCGGGCTTTTGCCTGTATCTTTGACCCCACTTGCTACTACGTTCCGAGTCACCCCGTCTTGGTACTCGATCGTTCAGTATCTCTACGTTGATGAATTTGAAGTGTCCTATCCTGTTGTGAACGACACCTTTCCAAAGACCACTTTTGTTCATTTGTACCACGTCGATGATGTCACCTTTCTAAATAATAAAAATAATAAAAAAAGATCCATAACAAATTATAACGTTAAAAAATAAAGACGATTTTACGTTTTAATAATTGAACCTTATAAAAATTACTCTATAATATTTCCTAAAGAGAGAAAAAAAAGAGAGAGAGAGAGAGAGAGAAGTAGAAAGAAAACATTCTAATAAAAGGTCATTCGTTGTGAAGAAACAAGTAGGTTCGCATGGTTTCTACTTTATGGTAATTCTCTATCGTCGAAGGACTTCCGTAGAAACGAACCTTAAATTTGAGCGCGTCCTTATCGTAAGGACTAGGTGTGTAATCGACCAAGGCTCTCGCCCTGCAAAGTACAGGGCCGATGGACGTCGGGCTTATGGCGTCTCTTTCTTCGCACGATATCGAGCTGTGATTACTTCCCGCTCGTACCAAAGCTTGCGTGCTAGAACCACTTCCGCTTGGAAGACTCTCGACGCTACTGGCGCTACAAGGAAAGGCCTCAGAGGACGTTCGATCCTGGCGAAGCCTTGAGATCTTCGTTTGTACATCGTGTCTGAGATTTCTTGCACGTCCACCTACCACCCCAGTTTTAGTTTCTTCATCCAATAGAGCACTCGCCTCCGACTGGAAATATCGATAATCGATCTTTTTTTTTTTTTTTTTTTGTTGTTTTCTCCTTTCTTGTGTTTTGTATTCTTTCTTTTTTCTTCTTTTTTCTTTTTTCTTTTTTTAAAGTAACATACAACGTACGAGTTACGATAAGTAACAATTTATATGTTAAAAGATTTTCGTTAATTAATTTGTTTAACAATATCGATAACGATAAATCGATCCAAATGAATATTTTAAAGCAATGTTTGTGGACGATTTATTCATGTGTAAGGTGAAAAATGATGATTAAATTATTCGATATTTATGAAGATGAACTTTGTGATGTCTCACTTTATCTAATAAAACGTTTAACCCTTTGCAACTCAGCCAATTTTGTAATGGGTACTTTACCAGTAACTACAAGACTCCTGTCTTGAAGTCTTGTAGTTCTTGTAGTTCTTAAGTCCTCTACACTTAAGTGTATAAGAGTAAAAGACTTAATCGTACTTTATATTACTTTATATTATGAATGTCGCCGTAGAGGCGCCTATAGAGTGCAAAAGGGTTATAAGTATCATATTCTAAAACAATTTTAGTACGTTAAAATTTATATAATTAACGTGTATATTAATTAGAAAAATATTTCTCGAAATAAAATGTTTTGCACGACGATGATAATTAATTTTAAAATATTAAAAGAAATAAAGAAAAAAAAAAAAAAAAAAAGAAATAAAGAAATAAAATAAAATAAATTAATCGTAATTACTTTGGACAAGATTAATAATAAAATGCTTCAATAGCGCAATGTTTTAACATGTTGAATGATATGAATCGATTTTGAACAAATCGATATATTTCTCCAATAACTTTTATACCTCATATACATATATACATATATATTTATATTTATTATATTAATTTATTATTTAAATATATAACGAACGAAAGAAGATCGTATAATTGTATATAAATGAAATTTGAAAGAAAGAAAGAAAGAAAGAAAGAAAGAAAAAAAAAAATTAAATTAAATGCCAAAAAACCGCAGGAGTGACATTTACGGCATTCAATCTGTGAATATTTCAAATAGCTATGTCGAAGCCATAGCTTCTCCGGACAAAAGACGATGCGATGGGATCGATCGATCATTTTCGCACACGCACACACGTGATATAGTAATTTAGTCCTGTCATTTTCTCGTCTATGTTTAACACCTACGTTTAATCTATGTTTAATCTATGTACACCTATGTAAAGTTAGCACCACCGTCGGTGTGGGATGTAATTAGAACTTATTTATCAAGTTATTAAAATTTCACCAAGGGTACCTCGATTAGCTTTCGAACTTTGAACTATTTAAAGGAATAAACTAAAAGAGGTGTTAACTTTACAAAGATCTTCGTAATAATTCCTGTAGCTCGATCGTGGTGTCTCTAGGAACAGGAAATTTTGTAAACATGCGATGATGTTCTGAATATGAAGGATAGTGGGAGATAGATAGATAAATAGAGAGAGAAAGAGAGAGAGAGAGAGAGAGAGAGAGAGATAGAGATAGAGAAAGAGAGAGAGAGAGAGAGAGAGAGAGACGTGGTAGTATCATAGAAGAGACTCGAGCTTTGTCGGCAAAGAGCTCGAAACGATAACGTTGCCATGCTGTGATAGAACAGACAGCACGTGTTGTGAATGTATATGTCGTGATATGACGTTCGTATTTTCGTACAGAGAGAGGAGAAATATACATATATCATCATGCTGCGTGTGGTGGGATATATTTTGGTCTAAATGCGACGAGGCAGGGGAAGGAAGGTAGAGAGGAAGGAAGGAAGGAAGGAAGGAAGGAAGGAAGGAAGGATGAAAGGAAGGAAGGAAGTAAAAGAAGAAAAAAAAAAAAAAAAATTAAAAGGAAAAGAAAATGAAAATGGACGAGTATAGGAATATATTTGATTTTGCGGGAAAGATACTACGTATGTATCTAAAAACAAACATGCTTTGCGTATCGTGTCTATATATATATATGTATATATATATATATATATATGTATGCATGTATAAAAAAAAATTAATATACCTGGATTTTTCGAATAGGATGAATGTTCGGCGGTACGCGAATAAAATTTATATGTGCAAAATGAAGAAAGATTAAAGAAGGATATATATATATATATATATATATATATAATACATAAACAGATGTAGATTATTATGATAAAGAGAAAGGAAATATCGAAGCGTAGTGATCGGACATGCTTTTCTTGATCGAGATAAAGATCGAGGGAACGAATGAACGAACGAACGAACGAAATAACGAATAACGAATGAAGGAACGAGCAACGAAGAGAAACTTTATCCGTTCTCTTCATTATATAGCATGCAGAAATAATTTTATCGAGCAAGCAGACACAACGAACGGCTTCGTACGAGTGATATCGGGCCCATAAAGCGAAAAGATCGTGAATAGGATGTCTGTTATATGTCACGTACTGTGTGTGTAGCGGCGGAGTGTTGGTTCTCAAGCTCTTCTTGTTCCTCGTAGTCGCTGCTCTGGCTCGGCGAAAGTCCCTCCTCCCCGCTACTCCGGCTCTAAAACGTTGATACTCGCAGAGACTCTTCTCTAATCACGCAGTATACGAAGATGGAAATACAGGACAGAGAGGAGCGTCGGGGGGGGGGAGGAATGGAAGGAGAGGGAATGGGGATGATTTAAATTTATATTTATATATATATATATATATATATATATATATATATATATATATATATATATCATACGTGCATAGTTATGCATAGAAAAAAAAAAGAAAAAAAAAAAAAAGGAAACAAAAAATTGTTCGCGCAACTTTTAATTCGAACAAATAATCATCATTATCGTTAATAAAACATTAATCTCTTTATCATTGATAAATAATTATTCTAAACGAAGATATACATCGTATGATCACTTATACAAATAAATAAGTTCTTCTCTGAAATGAAATTATTCTAGTACGATGAAAGAATTTAAATCATATATTTCGTTATCAATTAGGAATAATCAGGATGATCGTATCATTTCATACGTATTTTAAGGATTATTAATTATACAATAAAAGAACGAAAAGAGTTTAATATTATATCGATTTCTTATTGCGATAATATAACATATTGATATAGTTTTAATAGCGGGAGGAACTTCGCTCGAGACGTGAGATATGTTTTTTGACAAAAGGATGAAAGTTTCGTACCTAATGCTAACAGCTTATGTTAAATTATTACAATTATACATTATAGAGATTTGAAACTATAATTACTAGACAGAGAATTAGAGAAATAAAGAAAGAGACAGAGAGAGAGAGAGAGAGAGAGAGAGAGAGAGAGAGAGAATGAGAAAGAGAGAGAGAGAGAGAGAGAGATAGTTATTTATCAATGTTCTCTGTATCGGACAACAGATTACAGTATATCCATGAATGATTCATTAGAAATGATTTGATGAGAGTATCAAAATGCAAGTTTAATCGGAATACGTAGTTAAATAATTAGTAACAGTCAATGTTAACGAGGTATGCGGTTTCGAGAGCATGCTAGCCTGAAACGTAACCATAGTAGGAGAGACGATTAGTGTAAACGTCGAAGGAAATCGGAAGGCACGATGTCTGTGAGCCGGACGTTTCTAGGTGCTGACCAGGCACCGGAAGCCAATCTTCTCTGTATTCCTGTCTTGCTCTCTCTCTCTCTCTCTCTCTCTCTCTCTCTCTCTCTCTTCACACTACTACTACTACTACTGTAACTACTACTACTACTATTACTACCGCTACTAGTTGGACTCGTTCGATCGTCTCGAGGCTCGCACTCAACACGTCCGAGTTAAATGAATCATCTCGCGTGACGTATACCTGTGGGAAATGTCTTCTCTCTGCGTATCCGTGTGGTTGGTTGGTATAGCTGTTGTATGTTTAGCGGGGAATGGAGCGTAAGCAAAAGGGAGAAACGACGATAGAGAATAACTAAAATATCATATATATATATATATATGTATGTACGTATGTATGTATGTATGTATGTAAGTATCAAAACGTTTAAGTGTGGATGTTAGTGTACAGTAATAGATGTGTATATGGTTAATTAGTCAGACTACGCTACTTGTTTATAAGCCTTCTTCAATTTCAATCTCTAGAGTCGTCTGTGTACGTGTATGTATGCGTGTATATGTGTGTGTGTGTGTGTGTGTTAAAATACAAAGAAAAAAAAAATAGGAGTCGGCAAACGTTATTTTTCATTCGCATTTTTGTTCTATTTATTAGTTTTATTTAATAATAATTAAAGGGTAATCTTATAGAGCATCCTACGTAGAGAATATATACTCAGTACGATTATGCATCCTGTCATACGTTTGAAGGAAAATGATATTAGTAAATTTGAATTATTATGAGCTTACTTGAACGTCGCTGCTCGCATAATCTCCACTCTCTCGTGAAGCCCTGGAGTGCGTTAGAGGTATAATCGTGGGTGGATTGTTATGTCCTTGAGGTACAATCAATCCTCGCATCGTCGAAGCTGCTCCTTTGGAACGTTCACGTGGTAGACTGATGTCACCGGCAGTTCTCAAGGAAATCACTCCTTCGCCTCTATTTTCGGGTCTTGGATTCAATGTAAAGCATACTCTGTAATTGAATAATATTACCAATGTCTATAAGTTCAAAGGTTACGTCGTTGAGATTGAAATGGCATCGTCTAAATATATTTCATTGTCTAACCATTGTAAGAGAAATATTATAACATGTTCCCTAAGCGTAAGTTCATTCTTCTTTTCTTTTTTTTTTTTTTCTTTTTTTTTGATTCTTCTCGATTTCTCGTTAGAATATCTTTGAAGAGTAACTTCAAAATCCCAAGAAATATCCCAATGGAGCAAAATCAAAATATTCTCGACTTCAAAGTCTATTATTGCGTTATTGAGTCCATTTGTATCGCGTATATTTACCTTCCATTTTGAATGGTAGCCGTAGGTACGGGACCTCCACTAGCTCCCATAAGAAAATCTTCGGGGTCCGATTCGTATGGTGGTTCATCGTACCAATGTTGACCTCCTAAACCACCACCTAAACCACCTGTACCTCCACATCGAGCATCCTCGTCGTACATGTAGGTATCGTCTATAGAATATATTCGATCGAGTTTCAATATACAATTCGATATCGCAAATCCATCAATGATTCTTGTTATACTAACCTCCTGTAACCTGACCACGTCCATCTCGTCCTAATTGCATTAAGCCATGTCTGATGTCTCTTAATATCTGTGAGAAAAAAAAGAAAAAAATGGATGAATATATAATATTCGGTAATTTTTTAATTTTCTCTTTTTTTTTTTTGTCTTTTTTTTAGAGAACAATTGATACTAACTTCCTCGTGTTCTTTGTGAAATCGTTCTTTTTGCCTCAATGCTTCTTGAACTTTCAACTATAAAAAAGAAAAATTATAATTTTCAAAAGGATTTAGTATTCCAATGGTAATCCGGTATATTAAAATTGCATTGAAGAACTCACCCTATTTATAGTCTCTTCAAAGCTATTTGGCTGACCTCCATTCATTTGCAAATACCTCAGTCGGTCGTAATCTCGCGGGTCTACCATTGAACGTAATATCGTATGACCCATATCTGGTCCTGGACCTAATCCACTCTGAAGGACGCTGTCCGGCGTATCGACCTGCGATTGACGTACGAAAAATCAAATTCTCCTTCGATATTATTTAATATATTACGACGCGATGGTATTTAATAATCAGCTGTGCATTTAAAAATTTCCTCGTATAATCGTGTTTATCAAACGTGTATGGATTTCTATGACGAAATAGAAGTATAAAATACGAAATACGACGTAACGTAGGACCACGTATGGGATTTAATGAAACCACATGGGCCATGGAATACGCTAAACAAATTAAAGCCGTTTGTTTACCTCTCTCCAATCCTGGATTTCACCGCAAGCGTGTGAACGTCCACTAAGTCTGAATAATACCGAAAGAGTGGTAGGAGGAGAAAGAGTGCAAAGAATTTGCTTAATCTCCTGTTATTTATTTCTCTTTTTCTTTTCGGGGGTGGGGAGGGGGGGGCGACGATATAAAGGAAAAACAAAACAAAACAAAAAAAAAAAAAAAAAAGAAAAAAGAAAAAAGAAAAAGAGGAAAAAAAACAATATGCAAAAAAGAATTATTATGCATTTTGCACCGATATTATGCTATATATCACGTTGGTGAAAAAATAACAGGAAGAAAGGAACAATTCGTTTTAATGAAAAATAATATATTTGTTTGATATTATTACGTAATTATAGGTGACACGCAGGGTTACACGTGAAATAAGGTTACACGTATACGTGATGTCATTATAGTTCTACTCGATGCAAATAGAAGCGGCAATGTTCTAAAGAAAGTTGAGGGCGTTGAGAAAAGAGCTATAGCTCTCGTCAAAATGTTTTACGCGGTATGGAAGGCGTATGTCATAGGTGTTCCACGAGCTGATCATATTTCATGCAAATTTCGTGACCTCTCTTTCCCTCCCCAACCCTCCTCTTCTTCCGTAAGTAGCTTAGACACCAACTTCGACGTTTCCCTGTCACGCGGACAGCCTAACTCTTGAAAAATATACGCGAGATATTTTTAACCTTTTGAACGCTTCTTTTTTCTTTTCTTTTTTACTTTTATATATATATATAAAATTTATCGAGAGTAAGATTATTTTCGTAGGAAGAAAAAGTAACGAATGAAGAAAGAAAAAAGAAAGAAAAAAGAAAAGTAAAAATAAAAAGAGTAATAAAATGGTCAAAGAAATCATTGATATTAAAGTTTTTGAATAAATCTCTATAGTTATAGTTGGTGAATAAATCAGACAATAGGATTAATATTATTCGACGATCGGATTACACTTCACCCTCCTTCTCTCTCTCTCTCTCTCTCTCTCTCTCTCTCTCTCTTTCTCTTGATATTTCCATTGGCAGAGAGGGTTTGCTATGGTGAAAACGATTGAAGGTGACACGACGAAGGGACTTCAACAGTAGGTAACACGAACACTGGGCGTATTTAACGTAGAGAGTAAGAGAAGGATAGACGAAGGCGTTAAAGATAAGTGTATGCAGGAACGTCTAGTCGAGCGGGATTACGCTGACGCAAATGCGTGTCATGCGTTTCGTACGCGACAACGACAACGACAACGACAACGACAACGACAACGACGACGGAGGGTGCTAAGAGGATCCGGATTTACCTTAGCGAGCGTTAGAAGACGAAGGGATGATGGACAGGTGGAACAGATAGAGACAGAAAGATGAGTAAAGAGGAGTAGAAAGGTGTGCAGATCACGACGATGACGACGACAACGACGACGACGACGACGACGACGACGACGACGAAAGGTGAGTCTTTCAGGTACGATCGATGTTGCGATCCTCGACGTCCCTCGACATCCCTCTTCTCAAAACCCTTTGCCTTTTCTCTCTCTCTCTCTCTCTCTCTCTCTCTCTCTATCTTTTTCTATCTCATTCTTCACCCTTCTTTATGTTTTTTCCTCTCTCTTCCCGCAAATCCTTCCTCGACGAACACCCTCAGTGTCATAGTCTCCGTTTTGCTTCTCTTCCCTTCCCTTCTCTTCTCTTCTTTTCTTTCTTCTCACTTTCCAACCCCCCTATCAACCAACCCCCTTTAACACTACCACCATTACCATCGCCTCTACGATCACCACCACCACCATCACCATCAACCCATCATCATTTCTTCTATCTTTCTTTACCTCAACAGCCCGTATCGTCTGAGTACTGGCACGTATCGCTCAAGCTTGACCTTTTCATTCGGCCCGTTCTAATTAGTAAATGTATCCACCCCGTAAAACGGAGAAAAGAACGTCGCTCCAAACGAGAGCGTCGTCGTTCCTCGTCCCTTAACTCCCTTCCCTCATCGCCAACCCCAATCTCCCCCACCGTCGACGCCTTCGCGAGTATGCAGTAGTTGCGTCGCATCGAGTCGAGCTGACGCTCTTTTCAACGCAGTCGAAGCTTTTCTTTCTCTCTTTTTCTGTATTTTTTTTTCTGCCTCTCTCTCTCTCTCTCTCTTTCTTTCTGTCTTTTTTTTCTCTTTATGTCTTTTTTATTTTCTACTTCGAGCGCTTCTCTTGCAGCCAGCTCGAATCAATTTTAAAGAACATCCACCCGCTAATCGCTCAATGTACTCAACCCGATGTTTTTTGTTTTCTTTAGCTCGCCTTTATACTTCTCTCACCTTCGTTTGAGCTTTCTGAAATATTTCGTGTTTCTCTATTCCTTTCTTCCTTCCTTTCTCTTTCTTTCTTTATTTTTTTCTTTTCTTTTTTTTTCGTTTCTTTTTTTTCTTTTTTTTTTTTTTTTTTTCATCCTTTCTTTTCAATTTAGACGTTTATCCTTTCCGAGCGTATGCTAACAACTTCCTACGCTTTTCGTTTAATTACTTTTGGGATTAAAATGTCCGATGTTTAGTATGTTTGCATGGCTGAGAAAGGGAATGAGTTTCATGCGAGGACAGCTTTTAGATGGCACGCTATCGAAAATATAAAATGGTTAACAAAAGTTTTTAATAACGCGAAGATAATCTCTCAAAAATATTTTCGATGATGATCGTATATATTATTCTTTGATCAATACTTGACTCAATACCTTTTTTTTTTCTTTTTTAAGGTTTATCCTTGTAATTTATTATTATTATTTCAATGAAAATGTAAAAAAACAAAAAAAAAAAAGGAAAAAGGATTTCATTGAAGAAAATATCTATGATAATTTATTATGAAATATTAAAATCTACTACTAAGTGAAAAGTAAAGATGATGAATATTTAAATGAATTAATTGGAAACAAAGATTTTCTTTTTTCAAGATTTATAATTCTTATGGAAATATGCTTATTTTTAATTTTTCAAAATGTACAAAGAACAATGTAAAACTTGAGCGGATTATGTTTGCAATTTTTACGAAGTAACAATACAAAAAGTAATCCGTTTTATTAATTGTCATAGGATAAAAAATTAAAGAGATTTATATCTTTAAATTTATTTTATATATATATATATATATATATATATATATATATAACAGAGAAAGAAAATAATTAAACATAAAGCAAACATAGTAGAGTTTCTGTAAAAAAATTTAGTTGCCGTTAATGCCGTTCAAAAGAATATATTTGTTTTGAGTAAAATTCAAAATTTATTTTATCCTTTAATCCTTTGAGCTTTTACGTCATGTCTGACTCGACATTTTTTTAGAGTGCCATTCTATAACAATCTTTTGTAACGAAATGTCACACTTTCATTAGAATAAACTGTGTGAAAAAAAATATGTACATTCTTTTTAATTAAAAATAATATTCAAACTGAAAAGGTGACTTCTTAGTAAACAAATGATAAAAAGAACAAATAAATAAAGTGCAAGGGATATTAAGGTTTTTACGGCGTATAATTTATTCCAAAAAATAATTTCATAAAATTTCGATTAATTTCATTCTCAAAATGATGGTCATTATGGTTAATCCTATATAGTATAGAATGACTATAACTCTTGTAGGGTTTGTTAGAAAAATAAAGAAAAAAAACAAACAAATAAAAAAAAAAAAAAAGGCAGGGAAAAGAAAAAAACGCAGAAACGTTGACCGTTGCAATAGTAAACAAAAAAAAAAGAAAAAAAAAAAAAAAAAAAAAAAAAAAAAAAAAGAAAAAAAGAAAGATGGAAGAGAAAACGTTCATTGGGAAAGAGAAGTAAGGAGGAGGACGTTTCTTCGAGGGTGGCTGCTAACGGGCGCTGCGGGCTTTGAAGGCTCGCACAATGGCTCCGGCATCTTACCACGACAAGACGCCGGTCCTCGCTTCGGAGTCCGCTTAATTAAACGAGATAGTGCTCGCGGCCCGGGGCCACTGTCGGGATCTCCTCTTGAAAGCCTCCACACACCACTCCTTTTTCTCCGTCTCTCGCATCCTCTCGTTTTCTTCCTCTTACCTGAGCTGGACTCTCTAACGTTTCTCCCTTTCTCTCTCTCTCTCTCTTTCTCTCTCTCTTTCTCTCTTTCTTTTTTATCCTTTCTCTTTTTCTCTTACGTAGCAGACTTTTCACGTACACGCTTCGCCTTTTTAACAACGTCTTTCCCTTTTCTCACTGTCGCAACTTTCAACTCGTACTCATCCAACTTCTCGTACGACTTTCGTCCCTTCATTTTTCCCTAGACTTTTTCCGACTTTACTCCTTTCTTCCTCTTCCTCCTCTTCCCCTTTCTCTTCTTCTTCTTCTTCTTCTTCTTTTTCTTCTTTTTCTTCTTATTCTTCTATCTCTTATGTGCTTTTTTACTTTTAGCTTTATCATTAGTTATCAAGATAGACAATTTTCTCGTAATGATGTATCAATAAAATCATTATATATGATCTCTCGTTTAACGTCTCATTAAAGGATGGATTAATTAACAATGGGAGAGAGAGAGAGAGAGAGAGAGAGAGAGAGAGAGAGAGAGAGAGAGAGAGAAAGAATATATCGAAATGCAAACGACTTGAGGCCGTTGATGTAGCAGCTGGTAAATTTCTGCGGATAACCACAACGATAACTGTGGTCTATTATTTCTTTCTCTCTCTCTCTCTCTTTCTCTCTCTCTCTCTCTCTCTTTCTCTTTCTCCCTTTTCTTTTTCCCATCTCAATTTCATCAAAATACGTAAGAAAAGAAAATAGGAAAATTCGTAGAGTTGGGTGTGGATATCGCGTTAGGCGATAATATCGTCGATGTATTCGCACATTTGTCGTCTTTATCAAGCAGCTCGTCGAGAGCATCGATAACGCAAGACCATATTACGGCCATAAAGTCGCGTTCTCGTGTGTATCCGTGCGAAACTCTTCCATTCGGTCGGGGCGCAGATTCCCATGGGATCATCCTGGCCATGCTGTTCTCTTGTTGAAGCTACTACCTGCCGCAACCGCTACTAGCTCTCTCTTTCTCTCACTTTCTCTCTCTCTTTCTCTCTCTCTCTCTCTCTCTCCCTCTCTCTCTCTCTCTCTCTCTCGATCGTTGTCGTTTCTCTACGACGAAGTGCGGGAAGCATTCTATGTTGAGGGACGTGTCACGATCGTTCGTTCCCTACAGATTAAACAATTTCGTTTTACGATCGAAAAATGGCACACTTGGGAGAGAAAAAGAGAGAGAGAGAGAGAGAGAGAGAGAGAGAGAGAGAGAGAGACAGAGAGAGAGGGAGAAAGAACACATTGTATTTCTAAAACCAACGATGAAAATCTTTGTTGAAGATCTATCGTACTTATATTTTTCTCTTTCTCATTAGGTATCTCTCTCAGTCGGTATCGTTCGAATTTACAAATTAGATTATTGTTTGTATGAAGTGAGAGAATGATACTTAAAATCGACTTATTTAAATGAAGCACGTACGAGCGATTATGAAGTTTGTAATATACGTAATTAAATAGGAATATCTTATAATGACTTAACTACACTCGCGCATTCTTACTTTTTTACATTTGAAAAATTCATTGAAGTTTCTTTTAAATGTATTTTTTTTCTTTTTTTCGATATACTTACTGTATAATTATTTTTAATATGAAAATGAAAAATAAAGTGGATAAAGAAATTTTTCAGTAGATTTAATATTATAATTAATTCCAAAATGTGCACTCTTAAAGTAAGTACACAAAATGCATTTTTTGAGATACATTCATACACGATGCATCCTATTAATCATTTCACGCAGCAAGTTAAAAGAAAAATTTTTATTTCGTTTCATTAATTTTTATTAAATTAATGAATTAATATCTTAAATATTAGATCAATTTTTTCTATATCAGATTAATAATTTTAATACTTAATGATTTTAAGTATCATGCAAAAAGAGAATTTATATGTTTAAATATTACAGCGCCTTTTTTATTTTTTTCTTTTTTTAATCCATTTAAATCGTCTCGGTTTGTTCTATATACGTATCTATGTGTTATAAAGCTGCGTAAGTATTTTATTCCCCATCGATAGAAGTTTGCGCATGCGTGGTACATGAAAACACGTTTCCGGAATATTTTTCTCCTTTGTCATCCGGATTCGGCTTCATTTCTATTGCAATGAAATCGTCGGCACGGAACAATGTCCTTTTTTATGCAATTTACCATAGCCCATTTTGGTTTGAAATACAAAACGAGTATCCCCTTACTCCTATTTCTCATTTTCTCTCTCTCTCTCTCTCTCTCTCTCTCTCTCTCTCATTTTTGCTGTATCTTTTTTTCATACGCATTTGAAAATGTTCATTTGCAGAATAGCCGGAGAGAAGTTCCACGATAAAGGTAACGTATAACGAATAAATGCGACGTTTTCATTGATATCGTAGCCACTTAAATGAACAAAAGAGAGAGAGAGAGAGAGAGAGAGAGAGAGAGAGAGAGAAAAGAGAGAGAGATAGAAATAGAGATAGAAATAGATAGATAAATAGATAGATAGAGAGAGAGAGAGAGAGAGAAAGATCATAGAGAATATATCTACGGATTTTCCATTATACTTTTCAAAAGTGGAAACAGACATTACGAATAAAATATTTCGGAGAAGTAAATGAAAAAGATTTGGGTACTTGTTTAAAAATGAATCGAATGTATCTATCAATTGAATTTTCTTCAATCGTCATGAAAATAAAATAAAAGAAAATGAAATGAAAGAAGCAGCAGCAGAAGAAGAAGAAGAAGAAGAAGAAGAAGAAGAAGAAGAAGTAAAAGAAAATGAAAAAGGAGTTTCACGTTACGTAGCATGATGGTTGAGAGGTTGATGCGGGTTGATCGCGTCGACGCTGTCAGAAACGTTGACATAGACGGCTTTGCAACGACGAACTTTGGGTCAGCAGGGACGACAATTCGCTATACTCTAGTTGGAGAGTGACATGCTCGGATCCTCCGAGAACTCGTCGTCGTACGTGTCGGCTAGCTTCTATTGTAGAAACGAGAATGGTGGGTCATTGTGGAGAAGAGCTGCACACAGTATACTACCTACGACGATGACGAGGAGAACGAAAACGACGACGACGACGACGACGACGACGACGACGACGACGACGACGACGACGACGACGACGACGACGACGACGACGACGACGACGACGACGAATGACGTTCTCTTGGATATCCAGATACTAACCCTTGATCCTGCCTTTATCCTTCTAAACTATCTATACACTCTTGGTACATAGAAGAACTTTTGAAATTTACTTTATGATAGGAGTAAATCGTTTCGATATGAGTAATATCGTTATGTATGTACGTATATATAGTTATAAATTTATGAAGATTATTAAAGCACGTTATTTTTTTTCTCTCCTTCTTCTTCTTCTTCTTCTTTTTTTCTTTTTTTTTTTTTTGTCTTTTTTGTCTTTTCTTTTTCGACTTATACAATGTTCTTTGTATTATTTTTACGTTTAAATAATTATCCTGGTTGAATCACGAATAAACCGAGTTTCGTTGCAATTAAATTTTTTCCCTTCTTTTTTTCTTTCTTTTTTTTTTTTTTTTTTTTTCTTTTTTTTTCCACTTGTAGAGAGATAATACCACATTTATTTATGAATTACAACGCAGTATATTTAATTGCGTAGATTTAATAACAAAAAAAAAAAAAAAAAAAAAAAAAAAAAAAAAAGAAAGGAAAAAAAAAGAGAAAAAAAGGAATAGAAAAAAAGAAGAGAAAAAAAATTCATACGAGAGATGCAATTTCATCTGTGATGGACTTTAAAGGTTATAATAAAAGTGATACCGAGAGATATCGTGATTTGTTTTGTTAATAATAATTTCACGTGGATGGGAGGGGGGGGGGGAGAAAAGCATGAAAATGAATTGACTACCGTCGGAGTTGGTCAATTTTCTGTTAAAGTAAAATAGAAGAAACAATAATAATGGTGAGTTCGGTTTTGGATATCAATATTCAGCTGCGAATTTTCACAGGATGACAATAAACGTGCGTTATAGAGAAATTACGCGTAACAGATTTACGAGATGAGTTCACGACGCGCGGAAACGTAAGCGGCCCATGAAACGGAATTAAATGGCGTTTCCGGCTCGTGCCATTTCTCTGTTCGTCCTCTGGTTAGCCATGTCGCATCGCCAAGAGTAGAAGACTCGTAGAAGTTCAACCAAAAAAAAAAAGTTGCTCGTGCTTTGAAAAAAAAAGAAAAAAAAAAAAAAAAAAGAAAAAAGAGAGAGAAGAAAAAAGAAAAAAACCCTGAAGTTACAAAAAATATAGTAAAGAAAAAAAAGGAGTAACAAGCAAATGTGAAAAAGAGAGAGAGAGAGAAAGAGAGAGAGAGAGAGAGAGAGAGAAAGAGAGAGGGCAGAAAAATGGCCTTTGATACTAGTGGGAATTGCGTTTTTCGAGCTCGTAACAACGACCGAGTGCCGATTTTCACGTTCGGTGAACTTTGCACCCTCGGAGTTAATCAAGGTCGAACGGAACCGACGAAATTTATGCAGCAGGGTTGAAAAAAGTTATTACCGCATTTACGTGGACCACGAATAGCATAGAGAAAGAGAGAAAGAGAAAGAGAAAGAGATAGAAAAGAGAGAGAGAGAGAGAGAGAGAGAGAGAGAGAGGGGAGTGAGAGAGAAAGAGAGAGAATTAAAATCGTACGTCCGTTTTATACGAAAACAACATTAATGGCTATTATTTTGATCGTCTTTTATATAAATATAAATATAAATATAATAATGCGTTAATGATTATAATGACGAACATAATATTATACTAATGGTATAATAGACTTACTCTCTGTGGTACTCCTATTCTCGCACGACCGTGTCTTGGAGATCCTTGCGTTTGACCTTGCTTCTCCTTCTTGTGCGTTTTCAAACCTCTCAATAACCTTGAAAATGTAGTCTTCTTCTTACTAGTGTTTTGTCCTTGCTCTATAAACAGAGAAGAAGATAGAGAATAATAGTTTAGTTAAGATGAACTCTTATCGAACGAGATGATGTTCTACCTGACTCGACTCAATTCGATTCGATTCGATTCGATTCAATTCGATTCGATTCGATTCGATTCGATTCACGAAACAAGTTACAGGAAAGTTGTGCTTGCTCCATTTATCGGACGATGCGTGAAATCTTTCGGAATACCCAATTTACGGTGCACCAGCTAGCACTACCACCAATCTCGCAAATAATCGAATAAATCGGGGTTCACCGCAACATCGCTGTCCATTAACGGATAATTCAGGCGGGCCCGTTAGTCGCCCACGCCCTTTCAACGACAGTATATTGTATTAGTGTCAACGCATCCGTTTATTAGTACGGACAACAACGGTACCTAATTGCCTACCTATAGACGCGGTCACTAGCAGGAACGAATTATCTCGGCTCCAGGTTGCCCGATGATCGACGAAATGATTCGTTCGAGCTGTGCGAATAATTCACTTTGCATAACGTGCTGCTGGGTGTCATCGATGGTCATTCGAATGGCTTTCTATCACAAAGAAACATCGACAAAACGTTCGTACGTATTGATCGTAACTTCGGAATAATTAACGTTTCTCATCTTCTATGAGTTAATATGTTTCTCTTTTGACGTCATGACGAACGGGATTGCACAAACGAATGGAATTTTTAAGGATTTATGTAGACGCATAATCGGACAAACATTAACCTTTCGTTTCTCACTCATTGATTTCTATCGGTATATAACTGTAGGATTATCGTTCCGAACTAAACGACTAGAATTGAGATTAAACGAGACATATGGCAAATGAAAGTTCTTTATGGCATTTTATTATATAAATTAATTAATTACAACATATTATTTTTATTGTAAGCTTTAAGAAAATTAATGATAAATTATTTGAAAAATCTTTATTACATAATTATAATTTTGATTTTATATACAAAAGCCATTCTCCTATATTTCAATGAAATTTATTAAGGAAATGTATATTCATGTAATCGAACAATCCTTTAGCTTTTACATTATTGATTTCTATTACTTCGTATAACTACTGTGGGAAGGGGGGGGACAAGGGGGGGGGAGGGATTATCGGCACAGATGATTAGTATAGAGATTAGAGAGGAAATTCGACTGAACGATAAAATGTTATAAAGCGTTATTATATAATAAAATATAAAATTAAAGGAAAAACAAACATTTTTTTTCCTTGAAAAATTGTATTAAAAAATTTGCTTAAAGGAATAAAATATAAAGTTTTTATAGTGTAAGATAAAAAGAGAAAGAAAAAGAAAGAAAGAAAGAAAGAAAGAAAGAAAGAAAGAAAGAAAGAAAGAAAGAAAGAAAAAGTGAAGATAGATCGAAAAATGTTTAAACGTTTATTCGCTTGAGAATTGTCGAACTTTCATTCATTGTTTCAAACTATTCTCATTGCGTTATTTCTGTCACAATGAATTTAAAGAAAGTGCAAGATCGACATCTAGTGCAAGACCATCAAATCTATTTTTCCATTGGAGACATTTATCGATTTTCGTGGATGACCCGGAAAAAAAAGAAAAAAAAAAAAAAAAAAAGAGAAGAGGAATCCGTGGAAAATGTTCGGGAGGAAACTTTTTCGAGGAAGCAATCGAGGAAATTCGTTGTAGGGAATCCAGCGGAAGTCGCTATTACTCGAAGCGAGGATCCTTTCTACGGTGATATAAGCTAAAGAAATAACGCGGAAGCAGGCCACCAAGGGTAAGATAGAAACGAGCCATACGAGGGAAAGAATATAAGAGCCTCGCGGGACCGCGAGTAAGAAGGAATGTCGTTTCGTAATATCGGATATATATATATATATATATATATATATATATATATATATATATATATATATATATATATATATATATATATTGCTGAAGCTTTAACTACCGAGTCATGTTCGACCGAATGAATCGTATGGAATAAAAATAAACTCGATTGGTAAAGGAGGATGGTGCTGGATCCAATAACTTTCTTTAAAAAGAGGGAGAGAAATAGAAATAAGAAGAAAGAGAGAGAGAGAAAGAAAGAGAGATGGAGAGAGGAAGTAAGAGAGATGTCTCTAAACCGGTAAAAAGACGAAGGGATGTACGAAAGGATGATGGATAAAATGGTAAGCAATAGGGAGATCTAGGATTGTCGCGAGAACGAAAAAAGAGGGAACGATCGGAAAAGGGAGATCGAAGGAATCACCCGTTGCTTTCGCGTGTGCATCGAATTTTTCAAATTCGCGAAGGGAAAAAAAAGAAGGGTTCTAAATTCGTCCAGAAAGATGAGAGGGTGGATGAATGAGAGAGGGATGGTTCACGATAAAAGGCTCATGGAATTCGTTTTCTTCGATCCGTTTATCGTCGCGTCTCTTCTCTTCAAAGTTATATGTCTGTATATATATATATATATATCCTCTCTCTCTTTATCTCTTTTTCTCTTATCTGTACGTGCTTCTCGACTTCTTTAATTCGTATCCAGTACAAAAATGATTTCTTTTCGTTCCGAACTTCTCATTTTTTGGATTCCGCCTTTCTACAAAGAGATCTCATGACTGAATCGAAGCTTGAGTAAACGTAAGGAGCAAAGGTTAGAGTTTGGACACCATCCGACAAATTCAATTGCTCCTTCTTGAAAGTACCCTTGATTATAACTGGTCCACCATAGGGAGAAGAAAACCGAGCAAAAGCGGGAAGAGGTGGTGAGGAGGGTAAGGGACGGACGAAGGGTGGACGCTTGGACGCTCGGCGGAAAGACGAGCGATGATATTTACTCGCTTTCCAAACCTTGGCACGTTCTCTCGTAAATTACGGCGAGAGTTTCGCCGTACGCCTTTTCCGCGGCATGAGTGTTCTCGATTTTCCGCATTGTACCTCGACGCGAGAAGAATTTCACGAAGCAACGAAGTTATTAAAGTCTGCGATTTCTCCCCTCACCCCTTTTTATCCACCCGTTTCTCTACACTACCCTCCCACTTTACTCTCATCTTTCGTTTTCTTCTTCTTTTTTTATTCGTCTTCTACTACTACTTCTACTACCACTTCTACTTCTACTTCTTCTACTTTACGCCTCTTTTCTCTTTCTCTCTAAAATCGCAACTTCGAAGCTTGCCCGTTGTCGTTCTTAACAGTTCAAACTTCTTTTCCTTTTATCTAGTACGACAGAAGCGCACTCTACCATTCTTTTTCCCTTTCCCCCATTGCTCTTTTAAAGGATGCTGGTAGTGGTACCGAGAAAATAGGGATGAAAGGGGCGTTGGGAGTTACTGGCGGCGGGGGGGGGGGAAATAAAAGCTACGGAAGTCATAATCTTTCGACCGGTCGAAACACCTAACGAGGATACTTTCTTCGAGGTTATTTGAAATATATAAGAAATCTTTTTTATTCGGAACGTCTATAGTCGTCGACTACACTCTTTTTGCCATGTCTATCGATATATCGAATCTCGTCTGGAATATAAATTGTTACTACAAGTATCTACGGTATAGGGAAAAGCGTATAAAAGTATGAAGAAATAAGAAAATTTGACTGAAAATTTTTTTTCTTCTTTTCTTTTTTTTTTTTTTTTTTTTAAAGAAAAAAATAATAAAAACGACAGAAAATATACGATGGTTTTTGAGAAAGTTGAGTCGAGAGCTCACTGTGTCTCTATTGGCAAAATACATACGTAGTACATTCTATGTACACTGTTATATGTATAGTTTGAAAGATATGTGTAAGTATGAGAGAGAGAGAGAGAGAGAGAGAGAGACGAAGTCGATATTACTGAAATCCACGTAGGTCGAAAGTGGGGCTGCCGCCATAAGCATGAATAAATAAGCGATATTAAAATCCACTTTACTTCCCTCATTCCACGTTCGCATATCCTATCGGAACCCTAACCACTCGTACTTCTCTCCCTTACTTCTTGATACTGTTGGCAGCGAATGGATATCGCTAGGCGACCAATGAACAACCTGGCATTCCGTCGCTATCATCTTTCTCTTTCTATTCGGCGATACTCTCTCGAGATATTTTTCTACGGGGAGAAATGCCTTCGGGCAACTTTTCTCATCCCTTTTTAATACCACGAGACGCAGAGTAATGAAAATGTTCAATCGTTCAAAAGAAAAGAGAGACCGGACTTTTTCTTATGACGAGAAAAAGATCTTTAATCTATTCGATAATTAGATCCGATTAGACATCCATCGTGTTGAAAAATATCTAAGAGGGAAAATAAATATAATCAATTTATCAGAAGCGATTTAATTAATTGAAATATTATTGAGATAAACGTTTTTAATAATTTCAATGATTTTAATAAAATTCGATTCTCTAGAAAAATATTAAGATCTAATTAGGATAATGATTTAAAATGTATGAAAAAAATGTCATTGACAAATCTATCATTTACAAATATTAATAAATTATCAATATTATAGAAGATTCTATGAACGAGATATAACAAAAAAAAAAAACAATTGATTTCAATATGAACGAAATTATCAAAGTGATACATTAGTAATAGTAATAATAATAGTAATAGTAGTAGTAGTAGTAGTAGTAGTAGTAGTAGTAGTAGTAGTAGTAATAGTAATAGTAGTAGTAGACGAAAGGAGATGGGGGAATTTATCTCAGCGAGTCTTTAACGTCTCGTCAGTCTATGAAGGGTTAAGAAGAAGGCAGGTCTTTCGTGGGTGACAATAAGAGACAAACGGCGTAGAGGGGTGAGATATGAGGGGTGAGAAGGTAGATAGGGTATGAGAAAGGAACAGAGAAGAGGATAGGTGTCGATAGAAAAGAGGAGGTAAAGCTGGGCAGACTCCAAGTCATGCAGTGAGCGAACCGGTCGTTGCATACAGAAAGACAATCTCTCTCACTCTCTCTTTTTCTCTTTCTCTATCACATACACACTCACTTACTCACTCACTTTAACTCACTCACTCACTTTCTCTCTGTCTCATTCTCTCTTTTTCTCTCGT